ATATACACTATACAGGTAATCACTAGTTTATCGCGTATAGGTAAAGAGATGCGATGTGAGTTTACCGACGTCGATTGTACCGAGATCAGATATCTTCGTTTCTGAAATTAATGCAGATGTCGTATTAGGGATACGAATATATATAGATAGATATATAGATTATATATAATAGATACATATATATATTTCACGGAAAATGTCAAGACTCGTTCGACTTGCGGAATGACTGTTAATCATATATATAAACGCACTCAGGGGCCTTTACCTAGCGATATGTGATGTATTCTGATGTACTTTGAACCTTCGAAACGAGTGGGGATTGAATTCATTGAATTCGAAGTGGCCGTAAGGAAGATATTTTTGATACTTGTCCAGTATTCGATTCAGCATTCTGTAACTCGGACGTTGCCTGACCCGCAATTCGGTTTACGATCACCTGACCACGTATCAAAACGACCGACGTTGACATTTGATACGCCAACATATCGAAAAATAACAACGCGGAAGAATGATTAACACGGGGTAAGCGTCGTTTTACTGTGGTTTTTACTGTTGTGAAACTCGTGGACCGCAATCCTGTATGATTCAGCAAAATTTTACCCGGATAGTGGAGGATAGTGCGAACTTGTGTATAAATATGTCTGATTTGTATTGTCTACGTGGACTTGCTTCCATGATTTATCTAAAAAGATGTAGAACACGTTTATCGTTTCACTGCTCATGCAAAATGCAACTTTGCGGATTAGACTATTAATTGCTACTTTCCATTAATTTTACTGAACTGCTGAAAACTTTTTGATGTTTACACGTGGAAATCGAAGTTATTTAAACAATAAGACCTATTTATGATTGATGTCATTATTATTTTGACGGTATTACTTTAATTCTAATTTAATAATATACGTTACTAATTAAACTTGGTTTAATAGTCTAATAATTAACGTATAAATTATTTTATAATTATCGTTTTAATTTTATAGAAATGAAAACAGATGTAAGATCGTTACGACATGTCATTTATATGTCTCACTCGTGAACAGTAATATATGATGTTTGTTAAATAATATATAGCATTTAGCAATACGTAAATGTCCACATAAATAACAACGTTATCATAAATGTCGTTGAAAGAAGCAATACTAATTGTGACCAATATTTGAACAGGAAGTTGGCTGGTCGCACAATTTTTATTACGGGAGCTTCGAGAGGTATTGGCAAGAGTATAGCTCTGAAAGCAGCAAAGGATGGTGCTAATATCGTTATCGCTGCAAAAACTGCCGAACCACATCCAAAGTTACCGGGTACCATTTATACGGCGGCTACTGAAAGTAATTGTCAATTAATTTTTCAACAAATTTGAGATTTTTGCAATCTTAATATTTAATGGCTGTGAATTAAAAAAATTGAGTGTCTCTATTGTTCTTGTACTTGTGTTAATAAAATTATTAGTTTTGATACCGATATCTAACACAAGTAGAAATAGAACATTAATATTTTATAGACAGCATATTAGCCTGGTATAATTAATTTTTTATTTAGTTTATCTTATTTGATTAAATTGCTTAAACGAAATTATTTCAAGTTAATCTTCAGACTTTTACTCATTGCTTTCCAGATTTAGAGGTCTAATGTGGAAAATATATTTTTCAGTCGAAGCAGCTGGCGGTAAAGCTCTACCTTGTGTCGTGGATGTACGCGATGAGAAGCAGGTGATTAACGCGGTGGAGAATGCTGTCGCTAAATTCGGTGGTATAGACGTTGTTGTGAACAATGCGAGCGCTATTTCTTTGACGGATACTCTTTCAACCGATATGAAGAGATATGATCTAATGAATAATATTAACGCTAGAGGAACTTTTCTCGTGTAGGTTTCATTCTTACAATGCTTGCAAGTTTTTTAATGCTTAACATTTAGTTTAGTACTTAAATAAATTAACCATATATATAAAAGCAATTGATTAGGAAAACTTTTTGAAATTATCACGTATTTTCTCATGTTCGTGCTGTTACCGAGCAATAAAATTTGTATTGTAGATCGAAGGTATGCATACCGTATCTCAAGAAAAGCACGAATCCGCACATAGTTAATATAAGTCCACCATTGAACATGAAACCGGTATGGTTTAAAAATCATGTCGCATACACTATGGCTAAGTACGGTATGTCCATGTGTGTCCTTGGTATGGCGGAAGAATTCAAGCCTGACGGCATTGCGGTTAACGCTGTGTGGCCTAAGACAGGTATATTCTTATCACATTTAATTTTACTAGACATGATCAGTAAGGAAGTAATATTATATAATTATGAAAAACTTATTATAAATTATTTTGTTTTTAGCTATACATACTGCTGCAATGGACATGCTGTCAGGCCCGGACTCGAGTAATGCCTGTCGAAAACCTGAAATTATGAGCGATGCTGTTTACGCATTACTTTGTAAAGATAGTAAATCCGTCACTGGCCAATTTCTGATTGACGAAGACATATTAAAGAATGAAGGCATTACTGATTTTACAGACTACGCGTGTAATCCAGGTAATGTTAGATTTCATTTATATTTTGTAGTAATAAATATTTTAATAATACTTCAATAATAAATATTCGTAATTTTTTATTTAGCAAATAAGGACCAATTAATGATGGACTTCTTTCTGGATGATACCCAAGATAACCTTATAAAAACGAGTCCTGATAAAACGAGTGAAGAACCTGGTCAGATGGCACGTGTATTTAATGCCATCAATGCAAATTTAAGTAGCGAATTGGTTAGCAAAACTGGTGCTATATATCAATTTAACGTAAAAGGTAATTTCATTTATATTGATTTGAGCGCTGTAATACACGATAACGCACTAGATGAGAGAATAGATACATATTTTATTTTTAGGGAAAGAATCCGGCGTATGGTTCATTGATTTGAAAAATGGAAAAGGTGCTACTGGCAAAGGAGAACCGAGTCAGCCCGCAGATGCAACTCTTACAATGGATTCAGACAATTTTTTTGCTATGTTTTCAGGTAGGTGCAGACCTTGTAACTTTCTCTTGAGTTTACTCTCGTACTTGTTATATTACTGTATCGTCGTTTTACTACTATCGTATATTGCTATATCTATATAAATTATATACATACAGATGTTATTGATGTTACTAATATATCATTCTTTTAAACTTACTTTTTGTTGACAGGCAAACTAAAACCGGTTTCTGCATTTATGACAGGCAAATTAAATATTAGCGGAAATATGCAGAAAGCAATGAAATTGGAAAAGTTAATGAATACTTTAAAATCCAAACTGTAAATGCCAATGATTAAAATATCACATATCTTGCAATATTTTGCATAATTGCAATATATTTTTATACGTTATATGTTATCAATATATATAATACTCTTTTTTTTTAAATACGTATCTTATATGCATATTGTTATGTGTACCTTTTCTTTCTTATAAAAAATAAGAAAAGTGCGCGTAAATAATAGTAAATTACTATGAACTAAAATTTACTACATTAGTATCATAATTTTTACTTGAATTGTTTATGATTGTTTCTAGGAAACAAAATTTTCCAAGAGAAATTTTGTATAATACATAATAGGAATAATTTTTTATAAAAACGAAATGTTATGTAGGTAAAAAGAATGTAAAATTTGTACTTTTATAAGTTAGATTCATACATAACTTCATAAGTTAGATAAATAATATATTGTTATGTCAATATTGTTATCATCGGGACGATTTTGTACAATAAAAAAATAAACATTTTATACACGTTGCAAAATATTAGAAATAATACTTTTCCACATAAGGATAGGCACAATTATATTTTTATTTTAGCATTGGAAATATCGTATGCGTAAGTGCTTTTGCTTCTTCGTAAACTCCAAAGAAAATAAAACCTCCTAATGTAATCCACATTACTCTTGGCCCAAAACCAGCAAACAGTCTGTTGATATTGAAATATTTAGTAAAACTTTACTTTACAATAATACATGTAATTGTTTCAATAAATAAAAAAAAATTGAAATTATCGATTTCAGTCGGAAAAAAAAAATTGCGAAAGATACTTACCCGTAAAAACCGTTCTGTAAATATACTCCATGAAGTACATTAAACATTTTTAATTCTGATGAAAGCGATGTTCTATTTGCCAGCATTATTCTCGTTTTTGCAACGTCTAACGGAGTGGTAACAGCCGCAGAGACGCCTCCTGAAAATTACGTGACACATATAGATAAGATAAGATACAGAGTGCTTTCTGTTTATGCAAAATTATAATTTATCTCATTTTCTATTTTAGCAGCGTGAGAATATAGTATAAGAACCTGCAATTGCACCACAGATTGCACTTTCCACAGGATATATTTCTCTTTCAGCATATAAACTATAGGTCTTTTTTAAGTATTCCCACAATGGAAACTGTACAATGCTAAACGGCGTGTCTCGTAACACCGTGCTCCAATATCCACGATACAACAATTTAAGATCAAGCAACTTTTTATCATATATCAGTGCCTGTCTCCTCTGTTTCGTAACTTCCACTGGAACTCGTATTAAACATGCTACCTTTACATATAAAATAACAATACATGATTAAAGCTTTTTCTTTCATGACAAATGTATTAATCAAGTAAATCAACAGTATTCTACGTTAAATAATTGAGTTTATAACACACTTGGACTCTCTGAAGAGCTTGTTACATAATAAAAGTATATTCTACCTATCCTTACTCCTACCTATGTAAACATATATGTACAAAGTTCTTCAATTTCAATCAAAGCATTATAAATACAATGATCTAACGTAGACTGAAATACCATTAATTGATAAATTTATTTGATTAATTTATTCGTCACAAGAGAGATAATAATTATTAAAGTAATACCATTTCTCCCATTGCTGCTGCTCCCATGTGAAGTGGAGTATAATAATCCGCGGAAATCCTAGGTTGCATTACAGTCTTGATTTCTTCATATGTTAGAAAAAACAGCGCAGCTGGAATGAGAAATATATTAATATCACGTATAATGATAAATTTGAAAATTCTTGATACAGGAGAAAATTATTTCCTAAATATACTGCGTATATCTGTTGCGTTACCTGTTGGTGCGGATCCAACTATGACTGGACAGATCCCTTTATAAAGACCTGTGAAGCCTCCCGTCTTTAAAAATCCTTGAGCACTCTGCAGTCGAGTCTTCAGCGTGTCCAGCGGAAACAACGCAATGTCCACGAACGTCCCTGCTGCACCTCCTGCCTATGTAAGCATTATTATATGAACAAAAGTATAATTTTATCTTCTTTTCCTCTTTTTATCTTTTATCAACCCTCGTTTATTCATGACATATAAAATGAGAAAAAGCTTTTTGATATGAAATCTCAATGAAAAGAGAAATCAATTATAGTCCGTCTTATTAATTATTAATAAACATCCTGGAAATTGACAATACAGAGTAACTCTATATAGTTAACGCCTTCTTTTTTTACAATCACGATGTATTCATGAACGTTTAATTATGTAAATATCATTCAAAATAATGCTATTGTTGAAGAATTAAAACATGTGCCACGTGTGCAACAGTCACGTGTGTGTGATGACACTTGCAAACGCAAGTTGTGCGTAGCAATTCACTCACGATAAGCGAGGTAACGAGGACATTCCGCAAGCTCGTTCCCTCCTTCTGTCCTTCGTCCTTTATCATCTTGCCTTTGAGCGAATTATTCCAAAATAAAAGTGATCCCCACACGATCCAGCTCTCATGTGTGATGGCCCGTTGGTCGAGACGCTCGGAAATAAATTACGTGGCGAAATGCTATTTCTCTGAAATAGCAGATTTCCAGGAAACTTAATCGACGTGTGTTAATTCATGTCTAATAATGGCGTGAAATTACACGTTTCTAAATTGATATATTGATAAGCATGTTTATTAGACAAGAATGACAAGACAGTAAGGTTAGGTTACTCGACCGCATGCGCAGTTCAGCAACTCGACTCGAACAAATATTTACTTTGATCAGCTGATTTAATGAAATACTTATAATAATTATAATGTATAAAAAAAACATTAAATATCTAGTAAACGATTGTAATTATATATAATGCGAAATAAAATTTAAAAACATTATTAACGGGAAAATCAACGAAAGCGCGTAGATACAACAAATATTTTTATTATGTTACATAATATTATTTATAATTCTTTTTTCGTCACACTCAGACGACATTTTGTGCTGGGTGAGAATCCGCGCAATCTTATAATGAAAGAGAACACGATAATCAGGGTATACGTGCAATTTCGATTTTTCTCACACATTTATTATTTTTCTTCGTACCCACGTTAAAAAATTTGCCACATTATACGAAAATTGAGAGCCGACTTACTTTCTTACCTTATCTCTATATAAGGGTAATATCATACACCAGGATTATATTAATAACAACCCTTATAATCGATTAAAAAGATCATATCGCCTATAAAAATTTATATAGTATTTTCTGTCCAGTTTTCTTTTTCTTCTGCCTTTGTCTTCATAATTGTCGAGTTAAAATACTTTTTGCGGATACTAATAATTTACGTTATCTAATAAATTCCGTTATCATATTAATCGTTATAATTGTATAATGATTATACAATTATAACAATTAATATTGACAAAAGATGACAATTAGGAGACACGGGAGACACTATAGTTCCAAATAAGTGATTAAGTATTATTAAACCAAATTATTAGTATCTGCGTATCTTTTAATAATACAATAATGTATATATCGACTTTTTCAGTTTCTTACAGAAATCATAAGACAAAATTTGACGCGTCTTGAAGTAATATCGCCTTTCTTCCAGCTACAGATTCTTCGAATAAATGTTTTCTTAAACAATGATCATCATCGAGATATAAATTAATTAAAATGATAAATATCGATTATCGTTCGAAGATAAAACTAAATAAAAATTTTATCTTTATTTAATTACGATAAGAATTTTAATTTTACGTTTAGATATATTTTATCTTTGCTACTAGCAGTCACTATAGTGGTTTTCACGTTCATTACGAAGAGCCACTATAATGTCTTGTCGAAAATTTTCAGAGAGCCTACTATAAAGTTCCAGTATTATCTTCGCGTATTTCTTAGAATTATCGAACTTACATAAACTTACGATTATTTGTACAGATATGTTAACTTATGTAATATGGTAAAATTATGCTTTTTTAACTCTACATGTAGAAAAAAAGTAGTATGCTTGACAATACAATAGTTTTTGTCGCGTTATAGTGATAGCTGTGTATCTTCCAGCTAGTTCTAACGTTGCGTGAAGATTAGAAATTAAGACGTCACAAAACAAAAAAGACAACTACCGAAACCTTTGTTAAGATAGACTCTAAATTGATCCAAGTATCCATAGCTGCGAGACGAGGCTTGAGAAGAGAAATGACCAGTTTTACGTGAGTGATCGCATATATCTCGAAGTGATATATCATTTTTTTTTTTACTTTCCATATTTTTGTTCTTGAACTTTATACACATCCTATACGGTCATCGTTTAGTCGTCTTAATATTCACGCATTATGTAACACTTATTTATCATTCTTGTACCCTAAAATAATCGGTTATACGTTAAAAAAAGCTTTCCAGAGCGCTCTACGCATCGTTCTCGTCACATATATCTCGTTTAAAAACTGGCAAACTTAAGACCTTGAAAGTTTAGCTAAAGTAATTTCTCATCCTCAACTGTTCGTCATGAATCACGCTACGTAATGCCTTACATCGTGTGAATTATCGACGTCACGCAGTTTTATATAAAGTTACACTTGCGATATGTTGATTCGCCATGACTTCGACAATCGCGTCTCGTATGCCGTAGCAAAACGTACAGCCGAACGGGTTGGTTGTGTTTGTCGAAGACGCGCGATTCAAAACCACAGGTCGCGCGCTCGCCTTCAATTGTTCGCTCACTCTGTCCCATTTTGTGTAGGCAGTGATCTGCGACAGAATTAAGATTCATTAGTATCGATAGCATAATGCATTAAATATCATGCGTATAGAGGACTTAAAGATCCTACTGTAACAGGAGAGGGGGAAACGTCGATCAGCTTTCCCGATTCCGTGGAATTATTTTCAGGAGGCAGAGTCAGAGAAAATTCACAACGGTGATACATGTTAAAGTTATAGTGTCCCGGATAATTCGTGTGAAGTACAAACTTTTTTATACATTGAGTTTTAGCGTTGAACAAGACATCCTGCAAAGAATCGCATGTTAAGTGTGGAAAGTGAGATCAATGGACAAAGAGAAAACATATTCGAGAATGACATGGGCCATAATATCGTGCAGAAGTATTGTCCTGATCAATCTATCTGTTAATTATCTGCCCAGTTAAATCCATACATTTAAATGTTGAATTTAAAACAATAATCATCTATATACCTAATCAAATATCTATTTTTTCTGTAATTTAGTTTAAAGAGAAAAAGGCAAAGTACTTGAATTGATCCCTTTTAGATATAAATAATAAGCAACATTTTTAACGACATTAATTTATTGTACTGTTTTGATTCGTAAAAGTAAGCTCGTGTCATCTCACTAGATAAAAAGATGTACTTACCAAGCCTAAAGTAAAATAATTATAGAAAAAGTCTGACCGCCTTGTCTTGTCCCGTTTGTGCGCGTGTGGACTATGGATACGCATCTTATCCTCCGCTTTGTAGAACACTCTAGACGGGGCACCAATCGCGCTTAAAACGTCCTCGCAAGTATCACCGAACAACACCTGAAATCATAAATTATAACATCAGAAATGAAAAACTACAAATTATCTTGCTCTATACATAAGAACAAGGTAATTCTTTTAGCGTATTGAAATTCGTATTCGATAGAATAAATTGAAACGCAGATTCTTTTTAGCAGTCGCGGATTGCACGTTTGAAATCTGTACTTAAAATATTTAGATGCTGTCGTATTATTTCTTGGTAAAAAAAAAGTATATATTGATGAAGGGCAACCTCTTTGGTCAGACATCGCTTTTTCGGCTCCAGCAATGCTCTCGTTCCAGAACTACCTTCCGTAAAAAGGTGTAATCTGAGCCCTCGAGTACGTGTTTTGTCTCGAATGATATCAGCTTTCTCCAAGTACAAGTTATTATGGTAACAGGCCTGTTTGTGAAGACAGATCCGTTAAAGACACATTGTACGTCCGAATTTTTTGTCTTATCCTTCAGCTTAATCGCGAGATGATCAAACATAATTACAAGTGGCAAAGGTGGCGGCGGAGTTTTGGAACCGTGTTCTTCGCCGCTACCTCCGGCTGGCATATTTCCAACGTAAATCGCTGTTTTTGCGACCAGAGGAGAAGTCCCGTTGGGAAACTGTAACGAGCCTAATCCGTGGGCATAACCAGGTTGAAATTTCGAGTCGATTGGAAAGTAAAACGACAGTCCTCGAAAATTCAATACAAACACCTGCAATTTATAATTTATTATCATATAGCTATCACATAATTATTTTTAAAATAATTATTTTGAACAATAAGCTTTCTATGGTTTCACATTTGTGACTGAATTATACAGATAGTTGCTTACCTGCTTCTCGCTATCGTAAACCCCAGGATGAGTCGCGCCAAACGAATGCTCTATCTGCTCGATTGAAGGTAACACTTCCGGCGAATTGAATGGCAAGCCGCAATATTTCAATTTTACTAACTTCATGTTATATATCTCAATTATCTTAAGCCTTTGTACAACAGGATCGAATATAAGCCGAATGCCGTCGTGAGGTAAATTTATTACTAGATCTACGTCTAACGGATTCTGCGAACGTGCATAATGCTTCATGTATTATCTTATTATGCTATTTAAGTGTGTACACAATGCATGTAAAGGTATTACTTATTTACGCATTTAAAAACAAATTTACTTTGTGCGCATTATGCTTGTGTGTGTGTGTGTGTACAAGTCTCATGCCAACTTAGGCGTTGAATGTACTTACAGTGTCGCTATAAAGTACTTGCACTCCCCTTATAACTCCGACTTGAGATTGTATTATCGATACCGATTGAGAAAAGTGCATACCTGCAATATAACAAGCTTAATATTCGGATCTTGAAGTAAATTAATGCTTCTCTCCCACATAGCAAACAAGAGTTTGCCTATACAAAACTATATAAAAAAAAGAGCTTAGAAACTTGGAAATGGAGTACGTAGTATCTTTCCACAAAAACAAGTTCAGTTAACAAAGAGACCAATTGGAAGACTAATTTGCATACTATTTTCACAAAATAGAACAAATCGCCTGTACTTCCGCCAATGTTGACCCGCGGACCTTGACTTCTATTTTTATATACTTGTCGCAAGGGCATTTATTTATTCAAAAAGAGAGTCACGTACTGTGTTACATCATACGTATGATGATAAAAGAAAAGGGGAAAGAAGCGTTCGTATTCGTTTTCGTTCGTCATAAAGTATCACGTTCGGACGGACAATAGAGATGACAATAATAGGGCAGCAGAAGGACACAAGGACGAATCGTGCAGCTATGTGGGACAAAGTGGACGGGCCACGGTCGCCCGTTCTCGTCTCGCACGACCCGATTCGATCGTAAAACTTGACGAGGGAGGGAGAGAGAAGGAGAGAGAGAAAGAGAGAGAGAGAGAAGTCGGTTTGCGTGGTGTTGCAAACCATAACAACGCACGCTCGCGTCACTCGCGTGCGTTTTGCGCTTGCGTTTCGTCACTTGCCCAAAATAAATTCCCATTGCTCGCATCCGAGGGACCTCTCGGGCACCACCTCGAGCTCCAGCATCCTGTATATACTCCCGTTTAACTGCCACAACGGTACGACGGAACGACGGTGCGCCGCGCGGATGGAGCGGCGTCTATTGTCATAAGAACCGAGCTGCTCCTTTGTCCCGTTTTCGCTCCGAATTGCTAATCACCAGATAGCCATATTGCTGTCACATCCCAAACAACGCGAACTATCTCGCTTCACTATTTCGCAGCGCCTGCGACCTCCTCCAACGGTTGGCAAACTGTCATCGAACAGCTGATACGCGGCCGCGGGGCACGCAGAAGCGAAGATGGAAGGGGGGGAGGGCACTTCGCGGAACGCGAACGCGATTATTGCGAATTCACAGTGTTCACACCGCGCGTGACGCACGCGCCGGTATCTCTTTATAGGGATGCGGACAAAGGGCCACTTCGACTAAACTCCGATTAACTTTTAATCGTTGATTAGTCCATTGGAAATGACCAATCGTATTTGTCCATTAAGCAGATTG